ACTTTTTACAAATGAATGCTTTTCGTCCGTCACAGTATTAAAATTTCAATAAGAAGAGAAAAAGAACAAAGCGGAGGAATAAAATAAAGAAAGTCAACTGTATGTTTATTCCCATTTAACAACAAAAGTTTCAACTCTGAAGAAGAGCATATTATGTTCGGAACTGTCAATTATGATATATCTATTGTTATACATTTATATTTACATTTATGTATTTTATTTTACATTGGTAATTGTAAATTATAATCTATGTAACATATTTAATGAATTAAGCAACAAAATATTTTTAAAATGACCAATACAACCTTCTAAAGCGTAATGAATTTTCATTCTCTCCTTACAACAACAGAAATAGCTGTATTCTGATAAAAGAGAATTAATGGTGTTGCATAAAGTTGAAATAAGGTATTCATAACCTATAAAACTTTATTGAAGCTTGTGTTTGTATTGACTGTATTTTCTATTATTCAAACCCACATCAATTCTCCAAAATTAGATATATACGTGAAAATCTGACATTTCCAACACCAAAACAATTTTGTATAATAAAATGTATTTTTCAAAAATCTTACCAGATGGGGCTCAAAGATCCGTAGGTGGGGCTCAGCCCCATCTGGCACCCCCCCCCCTGGCTCCGCCACTGAGAACGTTAATTATTGATTTAAGTATATAAACATTTTAGATTGATTTATTTGATTTACGCAATTAATGGATTTGCCAGATGAAATTCTCATTATTATTTTTAAGGAATTAGGTACAATTGATGTTTTGAATTTAGTTGATATAAATCAACGATTAGATAATATTTTATATGATCATGAAGTAATAAGCCATTTAACATTATTCAGATATTCATCAAATAATTATATTTATCCATTAGATGATAAGTTAATTGATTTATTTTGTTTAAAAATTTTACCTGAAATTTATCATAAAATAAAATGGTTGAACCTTGAAGTGTCATCTATGGAACGTATTCTTGAAAGAAATTATCCTAATTTATGTGGAATTGGATTATATAATATGGATTCAGATACAGCTTTAGATTTATTTTATGATAATAGCTTCGATGATAAAGTATTTTGCTAATTAATTTTGTTTATTTATTTTAGATAAATATTCTTTGTTTCATATGTATGAAAAACAAATTTTATCAATTATTACTGAAATTGATGATAAAGAGGCACCATTAGCGGAAAGTGCTTTAACAAAAATATTTTCAAATATATTATTAATGTTTATTAATTTATCATATTTAAAATTTGAAACATGTTCAGTTTATTCTCCAAGAATATCGTACAATGGTGTAGCCCAACAACATATTTCTTCTTCAAATTTGTTGAAACTGATTATAAATGTCAAAACTTTCAATGATTGTCTGCATTTACTTGATGGATGTCTTGAAAATCTTAAAAAATTCAGTAGTGTAGAACTCGTTAAGTCGTAACGACTATTCAACTATTCTTTGACTATTCAACTATTCAACTATTCTACGACTATTCAACTATTCAACTATTCGACTATTCAACTATTCAACTTTTCAACTTTTCGATTTTTCAACTACTAACGATATTGCGCCTTTACGACTATTCCTGGTTGATGGCAACCGAACCATGTCTGCAAGGATTTTGTCGTTACGATCTTATCTGTGTTCCGTGGCACCCACAGCATGTGCTACTGGTTTTAGTCGAGCGATCTGATCTGTGTTCCGTGGCACCCACAGCATGTGCTTGTGGTTTTAGTCGTGCGATCTGAACTGTGTTCCGTGGCACCCACAGTATGTGCTTGTGGTTTTAGTCGTTGTGATTTGGTCTGTGTTCCGTGACACCCACAGTATGTGCTTGTGGTTTTAATCGTTGTGATTTGGTCTGTCTTCCGTGGCACCCACAGCATGTGCTTGTGGTTTTAGTGGTTCCCCACACCCACACATACCCAGTAGTGTAGAATTCGTTAAATCGTAGCGACTTTTCAAGTGTTCAAGTTTTCCAATATTCGCGTGTGAATGTGGGAGTGGGGGTGGGGTGTAGTTCACTCTAAAAAAAATCGGTTTTTTACCGAACCCCTAAAAAAGGTTCCAGAGATGTCTAAAAGCGTCCAAAGATGTCCAAAGTCTCAAAAAAAGGATAAAAAAATCTACGGAACCTTTAAAGGTTCTTACCGTGTACCCAGAATAAGAACCTTTCGCTGCGAAACCTTTTTTTAAGTTCCGTACAGCAGAAAAAGGTTTCGTAGGAAAATACGTAACCTTTAGAGTTTCATATTAAACCCTAATAGTTTCGTACTAAACCCTCATGATTTCGTAGAGTTTAATACGAAACTCTAAAGGTTTCGTATTTTCCTACGAAACCTTTTTCTGCTGTACGGAACTTAAAAAAAGGTTTCGCAGCAAAAAGGTTCTTATCCTGGGTACACGGTAAGAACCTTTAAATGTTTCGTAGATTTTTTTATCCTTTTTTCGAGACTTTGGACATCTTTGGACGCTTTTAGACATCTCCGGAACCTTTTTTGGGGGTTCGGTAAAAAACCGATTTTTTTTAGAGTGTACGATTCGAAGATCAAAACCGAACTGTTGTTTAGAGTGCTTCACTAGGTGTTCCACAACGAGTTTATCACGCACATCATCTTTAAAGTGAACAACAAATGGCGAAAAAGAATAACGCGTCGTGGCATAACGCTGCGCTTGGGATGTCACTTGATTATTATTACTGTCTGCCATAGTGTTGAACGGTTCAGCAGAAGCTGTTTGATTGCGGTATACTTGAGGACGAATATTGTAAGAAACCGTGGTAGGCTGATTCGTAGAATTACGAATGATCGAGTTGAAGGAGGGACGATTTACTTTTTTATATCTACGAGCTGTTTGCCAACCTTCATTGTTATCATTATCCATTGAAGAACTGACGTCATGATGACCTTTTTTTGTTCTTTCCTGCTCGACTGAAATTGTGTTCGATGTAAGAATGGTGGGAGATGCCTGCACGTTTTTGTTCTGCTGTAAAGTAGGAGAAGAGCGATGGTATGCGATAACCGAAGGATTATACCGTTGATTTTCATTTGTTTGTTGGTATAATTGTTCCGACTGTCTAATCGAATTATTACTAATTGATCGAGATATGGTGTTCAGTTGTATGGGAATAAACTGTCCATTCTCGATGAAACCTGACATTGTTACTAATTGACCCGAGTGAACATAGGCTTGATCCTGATGTTGATTTTGCGAACGAATTTGTGCTTGTTCAAGGTATAACCGGTTGTAATCGACTGATTCAAGCTGAGCATACGATTTTTCATTCGCACTAATATCAGAATTTCCATGCTGATTCGAAATCAGAGAAGCATTGGAAGTTTGTTGTACATCCATGTACATGTACTACTCCTCTTTGTATACAAGAAGGAGAACAAGAAGAGTACAGTGGCAAAAGAATGCGACTAACCAACACGATAGTGAAAGGAGGAATGGAGTGATTTCAACTGTATTCACATGTTCCAATTCCATTTCTTGTAATTGAAATTCAGAAACGTATTTAGAGAGAGAGAGAGAGCAGTAGACAAAACTGATTATCCTTCAAAAAATTTCTAATTATCTGAAGGATGTACTCGCCAGAGGTCGTCAAAGGCATATTCTTTCCCCTGCCTTTGACTCATGTAAAGTCTTTCTCTCGTATTCTGATTCAGGATGGTACGGACTCACAGCTGACGAAATAATGTGAAATGTGAAATAAGAGAAACATTGTTGAATGTTTCTTGATTAGTCGTTTAGTCTTTGAGATGGTCTAGATACCTGTTATATACGAGAAGATAGAGAAAATTTTTCTCTATCGATCTGTGTTTTTGATTTTTTTAAAAGTGGCAAGTAATGCATCAAAACGTCACTGAAGTTGAGATTGTACCGCCCTCTATTCTACGTTTCTTACGTTAACTCGAGAAACTTAGTCTTAGACTCGACAAATAAATATCTACTTAATCTTTATATTCTCAAAATGTCCTGAACATTAACCTAGAAAACCTAGGAAAGTGTTTAAATGCGTCCCCCAATCAGTATATTTCCGCCATTGATTCGATGATTCATCAGTCTATGAGAACTAGAGAGCTGCGGGTCCGGGTCCGGGTCCGGGTCTATACCTAAGAGGAAATTCAGACCCGGTCTGCATTAACTTACGAGTGGAAATATATAACAATAACAATTGAAGTCAACAAAATTGAAAAAGAAACAGTCAGAAATAGTTTTACACTCATTTTATCTTTAAAGTGGCCAATGAAGAGCTAAAATTGTGTTCTCTTTTCAACTCATGTTCACAGAGGGTGCCAAATAGTGGTGGAAAAAGGATCGAGTCTGGACTCGACCGGGTCCGGGTCTGAAAATTTAACTTTTTCCGGGCCCGGGTCCGGGTCCGGGTCCAAAAAAACATGGACCCGCAGCTCTCTAATGAGAACATACCAGGACAGGATAGAGTCGTATGTAACATAATCACGAATAGCATCAGCTTGTTAGTATCTGTTTTGGTCGTTCGCAATGACTGCATTATTTGACTCAAAAGTTGTTCTATAAAACGATAGAGCGAAAAATCCGTCAGGGTATGGCCGCTCTGTCACGGTTTTTAGTACACAATTACTCAATATTATTGAAATTCACAATAAAAATCTATTAACACAGATAAAATTATTGAAATCATACAAATAACCGTTATTTCTTTCGCTTCATTGCTATGATTGTTTTATGTATCCTTTTCATTCTTAATATGAATGGGTGAGAAAAGAGTGGTCAACAATGAAAAAGGTCAATGAACGTATCGTTATATTGGTTGAACACAAACTTTTTGTTCGAATATATTCATTTTGAGGAAAAAAAAGAATGAACGAACACATTCTTTTCATGCAAAGTAGACGAAAGAATAATAAAGGTTAGTATTTAAACATGAAACAATCCTTGATAGAAGTGACGTTTGTTCATTCTTTTAATATTAAAAAAATAAGAAAAAAAAAGTTCAATTGCGTATTTTTTCAATCTAAAAACGGTTTTAGCGAAAGTTTTAATATTAATTTCATTGGTTTTTCTTTTCGTATTGCTTAGAAGATATATTTCGAATCAAGTGTGTTTTTTATTGTAATTGAAGAAATTTTATTTGAAATATATCCATTGGTAAGTTTTTTTTTTCTTAAATAATGGACTTTAATAGAAATAGTTTTATATTTTCATTTCATTTATTTTGTTATGTATTGAGGGAGAATTAGATACTATTGACTTTCCTTTGCAAATTATTCTTAAAAGTAACGAACCGTGATTTTTAGGAAAAGATATTTCAAAAATTTTTTTATTTTATGAGTACTCATCTTTTTTAATATTTCAGAATTATTGTAAGATTTTAAGTTGAAAGACTGATGGTTTTATGAAACTCAAAAGTAATTGTAATGTATTTTGAGTGAAACTTTATTTCGACAAAGAGACGATAGAATTTCGACTGAGATCTTGTTTGTTTTGTTTGGAACTTCAATCCATAAGATTGATATAGAAAAGTAGATAAAAATGAAAAATACTTCTTTTTAAAGATATATTTCACACAAAAAAATCGAAGCTCTTTGGATCTCGACGCGCATTGTCTGCATGATGACATTCGTTTTTATGACAGATATTCGTCTGATATTTATTTTCATCTTTCTTTTAAAAAAAAAAGTAGTTAGAAAAGAAATAATTCTAAAAGAGCGATATTTTCTAATTGAAGAAATGAAAATTACTTTTTTTAGATAAAATGATAAGTAAATTAGAAATAATTCCGAATGAAATATTTTTAAATATATTTTCTTATTTATCGTGGGATGAAATCTTAATATCATTATGGTCATTAAATAACCGTATTAATTCTCTTATTTGTTCAATATTTTCAATAAATAATAAAAATAGATTTATTTTTAATAAATCAACTTTATCCTATGAAAAGTTTTCTACAATAATCCTTCCATTAATATTAAACTGCTCATATCTTTTATCTCCTATTAAATCTATTCATTTTGATGAAATTAATTCATTATTTTTCGACTTATTTTACGAAAATATTTATAATGATAACAGTATTAAGCCAATTATTTATTTTCCTAATCTTGAAACAGTTTCAATTAATCAATGTTTATTATCTCAATCATTAGTTCAAACGATATGTTTATTTATCCAGTTGAAATTAGATCAACTTACATTATCATTTCATGAAGATATTTATCAAACGTTTATTAATGAACGAGAATCTCCATCAATTCCTTCTGATAAAGGTAATAAATTATTAATTTTAGTTGCAAGAGGCAATATGTAGAAATTTGAGTTGGAATATAAGGAAAAAAGAAAGATTTGCGACAAGTAACCATATTTTGAAATTATGGTATAGGCCCGTTTTTGTTATTTGTCATTTCTTAGCTGGATAATTCCAGTAAACAAAGTACAATGGGGATAATTATATTCTGATTTATCGAATAAAAATGTTTAGATCATGAAAGTTTTAAATAAAATGAACATAATCAATTTGAGTAGGAAAAAAAAAGTTTGATTTTAATTATTGTTAATAGAAATTGATTTTATTTTTATTCTTCTTAAATAGAGAAAATTGAAAAAATGTTTCAACAGTTATTAAATGAAATATTTTCTAATAAATGTCAGTTGAATTCTCTTCAACTTGATATAACAAAATCATTTTATTCAATACATCAATGCTTAAATCCCGATTCTAATCTTCAATCAAGAACAATTTCTAATGAATATCAATCTTATTGTTTAACTCTACGTCGTTTGTATATTCGTCTCGATTATCGATGTTTTCTTGAACATCTCATTCAATATGTTCCCAATCTTGAACAATTATCGGTTCATTTTCGACATTCCTTGGACAAGGATATAGCCTTTGGTTCAAATGTTGAAACATTGATTTTATCAAATGGAAATTGGTTCAATAAAGTAAGACTTTTTTTTTCACATAAATTCGAACTCCTAAGAAAGACCTTGACTTCATTTTATTATTGATACAAAGATTAAAAAAAACGATATTACTTAAAGTTAGGAGTGTACAATTCACGATCACGCTCAAGTCAAATGAGCGCTATTAAGTATGGGCTGTTTAGTCCTAACTAAAAGAAGTTCAATGCACTGAGTTTTTAGGATATCCTTAAACGAAAACACACACGCTCACAACCGCTCATTTGAGAATGAGCGTGAGCTGTACAGCTCTACTTGATAGCATTAGTAAAGACAATTGACACAAGTTCATAGAAAAATATTTTTACTACTTTATTAGATTGTTTAAGAAAATAGTTTTGTGTTTATTATTTTATATTAACGCAAATTTGAAGAATTATTAAAAGTGATTTTATCCAAAAAATAGAAAAATCCAAATTTGTATTTATTTATAGAGTATTCGCTTCATAAGTATTGATCTATTTTAATGTTTAAAGTCTCTCATATTGAATAAAAGATATCAGACTTTGAATTAAACTGATTCAATACTATAAAATGAGGAGTAGCATATACCGAAAATATGTTACTGTTAGGATCGTAAATGATGATTTCTATTTGATATAAATATGGCCATTTTGTAAGCATTGATTATTATTTGAAAGAAAAAGTAGATATCTGTTGAGAAAAATAAGGCGAATCTTAGAATGTTACGATCTTAAAAAATTTAAATAGATACTTTTGAATCTGAACAAAATTAGATAAATTCTAGAGTGGATCAATAGAAATATTTTGAAGTTTAGAAGCATTATCCGAGTGTTCAACATTTAATGTACAAATTATTCTGCCAATACTGAGCGGTTTGAGAAAACATAACTAAGAAATTTTTAATAAAATGTTCATAAACATTTGGGATTGTTGTGAACAAAAAAAATGAGCCTTTCATCAGGCTTGGAGTATACTGTTCCATATGTGAATTAGCTAATAGCGTAGTAGACTTGAATTAAGATGTGTTGCGATGTAATGATGTACTTCACTTATATTAATCGAAGCTTATAGTACTGTTAAAACTCGAGTGTACTACTGCAACACTTTTCTCGCTTGATCCATTGTACATAATAAATCGTTCCGATTATTTTCTTGTTTTTTTTGTTAATATAATCAATATATGTTTAAGGCTATTATAGTCCTCATTCATAAATTGTTATTAAAATAATATTTGGCAGTAATATTGATATTTTTTGCTATTTAGAAATGGTGTATTTGTAAATTCTTGATTTTTTATTAATATGAAAAAGTGTGATATCTGTTTTCGTGATTTAGTATGTTCACACTAATCGCAAAAAAAATCTTTTTTAAGTAAATCAGTAGAAAACTATACGTGACATATTCGTTAAATAATGAGAACTTTTAAATTTCTATAACTAAGAGTACATCATATATATAAATTAATAATGAGACGCATCGTATGTGATGATTTGCAAAGGGAAAACTGTTGACGATTATAATCGCTTCTTGAGAGTAAAACGAACAATTTGAAATAATCGTTCAAAGTTTTTTATTAAAAAACTAGATTTTTAATAGATACCCAGTAATTGAATATTTTCGATGATTATTGTTTTCATCGAAATAAATCCATTTTTTTCAAAATAATGATTGACTCTCTGTGTAACACAGGTACAAAAATTGGAAGATTTTAAATTGAAGAGTCTAATTGTCAATGACTTGGAATTTGGTTATTTAAAATGGATTCTTAATAATGTTAATCATGTTAAAAAGCTTGAAATTAATTTACATAGCGGATATATATGGAATAGAACTGATATTATATGGAGATCTTTTATTGATGCAAATTTCATTCGTCAATATTGTTTACCTGATCGAATAATTAATTTGAAAGATTTTCGTTTTTATATTTGTGCAAATTGTCAATTATCATCAAATGATATTTTTAGAACAATAAATTCCTTTAAAATCGATTCATTTTTTATCGATCATCAATGGACAGATGTTAAATGTTTTTATAATGAAAATATATCAATGGAATATCAAGTGAGTAAAAATCATGATCAAAATACGAAGTATAGAAAAGTGAATAGATCTTTAAGATTTGTATATAAAATAAAGATCTTGAGTAACAATACGTAACGAAAAACGTCTTTTTTTGATTTCTAGAAATCAGATCGTACAAAATAGGAGTTCACATTCACGAACTCCGTTCAAATGAGCGAAAGAACTGGTCACAAGTTCTTTTGAAACGAACTGAACTTTTCGAACAGTTCTTTCTAAACGAACTGAACTGGTCGAACAGTTCTTTTGAGCGAACTGAACTTTTCGAATAGTTCTTTTTTATTAGAATGAACTGGTTCAATATGTTACTTTACCAGCCACTTCATCGAAAACGAGCAGTTTGAAAAGTTCAGCTCGTTCAAAAGAACTGTTCGAAAAGTTCAGTTCACTGAGAAGAACTGTTATATCAGTTCAGTTCAGCGAACTGAACTTTTCGAACAGTTCATCAATTCTGAGCGAAACCTGAACTTGGGAAGGTCTAGTACAAATTTTTTCAATAAAATCCGATTTTTCGTTTGCGAGTGTTCAGAAAAAAGGCGATTTCGAATAGTTTCTGAACTAAATATTAGTCTTTACTTGACTTGTGATGTTTATAAGAGAAAGTTAACATTAGATTTACATTCAGTATCGAATTTTATACTAGACAAATTATTTTCAGAAATATTTCGAGTGATTAAAAAAATAAATTCGAATGATTGCTTTGAAGCCTTGTATACTTTAGTAAAGATTTGATAAATCTGTATCAAAACAGATTTAATAATAGATCTTGATATAATGTGATCTTGTATCTAAATTTTCAAACTATGCTCAGTTCTCCATATTTTGTATTTTGTTGACAATAACCAAGATTTAACTCACACAATATTTTATTAGGGATACCAACATCTTTTCTCTTCTACTCTTGACAAATTTCAAGTCTTGAATGATTTATCGTAAGATATTTTACTAATGAAAATTTGTCATCAAATTATCTTTCTCATTTAGCAATTATCGTTATATATCGTATGATCCATCAGAGATGCGTCATATTAAAATCATTTTTAATACATCTATCTATTCATTTTACGAACAATTTAATAAATTATGTTCAAATGTTTCGTGCATCACCATAGACATAGGTAATGTATTTTTAGTTTTTGTGTCAATGAATTCGACTACAGCTCATAATGCAATGGAATTGAGGTGAGGTCTTTGCCAAGATATCAGCCACGGTTTGTAAAAGAATAAGAATACTGAATAGTAAACATAAACCATCAACAAAGAAATTTATATTATTGGCAAAAGTGTTTGGATAAAGCTCTTTTATTAAACAGTAAATATGCGTTGTACAACGCATTTAATACGTTATTGCATTAAATATTATTCAAGGTTATTGTACATCATGCTGTTAACAAAATTTAATGTCAAAAAATAATTTTGCTGCCTCGCTGTTTACTGTAGAGAGAGAGAAAGATTAAGTAATGTTTATTTATTTGTAGAAGGTTCTGCTGATAATTTGCATATGTCGCCAACATTAGATAATATACGACTACGAAATTTAAATAATATTCAATTAGTAAATGTCACAAAACTTCAATTTGGATCTTGTGATCGTCGCGCAACTCGTATGTATAAATTGACTTTTTTTTGAAAAATGATGAATTTCTTTTTGTTCTAATGACTATTTTCGTTATATGAGTCAGTTCTATGATTTTGGATTGTTGAAAAATATAACAGAAAACATGTATGATTCACTATAGAATAAAAAAATCTTAAGATCTTTCTTATAAAATTTAATTGAATATCCTTTTAAAAGAAAACTGATACTCTGACATGAATAGATTGAAAAATATTTATTTCAAATCTTCAATATTTACACTTTTTGAATATCTTTTATAGAGATAGACGAACAAAGAGAATTAATATAAAATGGTTCTTAGTCAAATATTGTTCAAAAAACAACCTGTAACAGTGTTTAAGCTTTTATATTGTAAACGAACTTCACAATATATTATCTGTCGAAAAAAATTTGAAAGCATTCTAGTGAATATTTAAAATTAAACATCTCAGACAATATTTAAAGCTACATGCCGATTAGCTTTTCCTTTGTCAGAGGTTGCTGTCAAGTGTTAAAGAAATATCAGTGATGTCTCATGATTACTGTAAATAGTTGCGGATAAATCAAACCACCGTCACTGAGTGACGACCTAGTATAATATTAGCATTTGATTTTTAAAAAGTTTCAACACTTGATATCAATTTTTAAGGACGTTTTAATCTAATTTCTTATCCCTATGAACTCTCTGACCTTATTTTTTCTATATTCATTTCAAAATTCCTCCGATTTATTAAAATTTAGAAAGTCATCAGAAATTTTCAACTGATGCCAATCAATAAATACATCGACTTACACATCTGTTAATATTGTTTTCTTAGAAGTCATAACAGATAATTTAAGAGTTTAATAAAGGCAGATTCTTTTTATAAAATACAATCGTATTTCATTGAAGTTTTGGTAGTGGACGTTCATATCATATTGTTATAGGCATTACCCATATAGAAATATGAGTTTAAAGGATAAATAGAGTAGCGAACTAACTAAAAAGGTCTTATTTACGTGCTAAAGTCGTAATAAAACTTCCTGGCTGTAATAAGAAGTCGCTGTTGTCGTTGATTGGCATTTTATCATTTAGAAAGGTTATGATGATGATGAGAAGAACAAAGTGTACGGCACAACTATATGATATTATTTTTGTGACAAAATATTTTTTTAAATCGCAAAAAGGTCATACAAGAAAAAGTTCTGTATCTTGTTTTTTTGTCTCTCATTGTATATTCTCATAATATAATATTGTTTTCATAAACAGATATTCCGTAATGAATCATTTTTTCATCACTATATGTCTGATAAATAGTTCTTTGATAATGGTAAGCCATTATTCTATGTATGATTGTAGGAGATATGAAATTGAGCGTATTTTGCAAAAGAAAATTATTTATTTAGAACGTTGGTCTAACTTTACAGCCCAAGATAGAGTACGTGCAAAACTATGTGCCCATCTAATTTCCATGACTGTTCAACTCAAACACCTTTCTATTGCAAAATTTCAATGGCTTTTATATATTACTGAAAATGTAAGTACGACTTTTATCATCATTTTTTTAAGAAAATAAATTAATTTATGAGATTATTGTAGAAAATTAATCGAATTTAATTTAATATTGATGTAAATTTGTTAAATTCTGGACTAATAGTTAGTTTGGTTTTTCACTATATACACCTGTGGGCAAAAGTCTTTCTCCCCTCCCCCCTGATTTTTTTAAACTGAACCTGTTTAATCTGAAATGACGTTAATTCCGAAGGTAGTTTGAGTATTTTATTTTAGCGTAGTGCATGATTTATCCCGATTTGGCAAAAAAAAGCCTGTACGACATTAAACACAATCAGCTACCATTACAATTAATTTGTTTGACAACATTCTCCATGAGTGAGCTATTTCTTTTTT